ATGACGGTCGCGAGTCAACCACGAGCGACGAGTCCCCGGGACTCATCCGGTTGAACTGGAAGTCACCAATCGCTCATCTGCGTGAGTTGGGTTTGGAGTTTTGAGCGATTTCTCACAAGTGCTTTGGGGTGTCCAACGGTGTTGGTCGTGTGCTTTGAACACAAACCAGAAGTGTTTCTTTGTTTCTTGGCAAGTCACAGAAAGCGACATGCCGGACATGTCATGACCAATGGCATTGCTGGACACGTGGTGAACCACCAGAGATGATGCCAGGTCGCCCGAAAGAGATCGAGATCGCCAACGACAGAGGTGGGGCTCGACGGATTTCAGGGCCCCTCGAACCTTTTCTTCTACTGATTCTACTGTAACAATGACCATGTGGCCACTCATGTGGCCCTCTAAGCCTTTTTCCACGGACATCTCTCACTCCAAATCTCTAGATTCAGCAATTCTCCAACAGCAGCACCTGTCTGAAATCACCAACTCTACACCGCCGCAACCCACACCGATGCTGACAAATGGCCTCTCCCTTTGCCCTTCCAAAACCGTCGCTTGACCATGCTGTTGACTCCTCTTCGGCATATTTTTCCCCCCAACTTCCTTCGGCGTTGACCCGCTCCTGATCTTTTTAGCGCCGAAGGGACGCAGAGCTGGTGCCAACTTTGAACACGGCCATCTCGCATGCGGAGGACGGCGCCGTGGTGTTCGGTGCGGCCGTCGGCGCTGCGCTGGTCGTGCTCTTCGCTGTTGCGGTGGTCGTGGCATGCTCACTCGTACCCAAGGCAGACAAAGCACGGCCTGCAAGAGGAAGGTTTCTTGGGCCTTTCTTTGTTAGATGGTCTGCTGATAATTTCTTGTTTTTGAAGGTATGCGTTGACTTGTGCTTTTGAAGTAGGTAGGCATTGACTTTCAATAGTATATTCATAATCATTCATATCTATTCATCATCGTTCATCATGTCATAGGCACAAGCTTGAGTCTATCAACAAACAAACGCAGAGTCGTGCGCCTTTCACGTCCTTGGCAAAGTAACCCTTGAGCTTTGGCAAGGGATCTGGAGGTTCCGGTACCTCGATGGAAAGAACGAAGTTTCTGTATATACAAAGCCAAACAAACAACGTCCAACTCTAGTTGCCCATTCTGCACTAAAGGTCTTGGCAGGAGCTGTAGATACCGGCGTGTTTTTGTTCTCTTTGCGGCCCAACACCGTAAGCCCGGAATGAGAGTTTGATCAGTCCAGTGAGATCGTGGAATTTCACATATCTCATATGGATATGATGGGAGCACCTGAAACTACTGGTGCGAATCTCTTCAACTCATGATGCAATCTGCATGATGAAAGTTCGAGACTTATAGTGTACATGTTTCAAGATGTTTCAAGCGATCCGCCTCGTTTTCCCCACCACCTACTCACACATATATCCAATCACCACCGTCCTACAACAGAGCACCGAGCACTGCTGTCGGGCTTCCTTGGAGAGGTCGATGCCCAGTTGGTCTTCCTGCAAGAGCAACTCGGTGATCAAGGTCGCGTGGGTAATCAGCCGCGACGCCTGGAGGGGGCGAAGGGTGAACAAGGGTGAACCCCAGAAGCGGGCGGAACATGTGCGGTTAAGACTCCTGGGTAGATCTCAATTCTCCTAGGGCCATGTGGATGATGATTGTTGGTAAAGGCCTTTCCAAACAACAAACAATATAAAATTAGTGCACGAGAATCCATCGAGCTGCCCGTCCACACCCCAACCCCCAACAAACGTCGCCCCACGTCCAGCCTGCTCGGGGAACCACTGGGCGGCCAGCGCCAAGCCAGCTCGCACTTCCTGCCGCGTGAAGTTCGCCATCGGCGCGTGGCTCCGGTGGGGAGGCGCTCCACCTCGGAAGGGCGTGGCGTGGGGCCAACACGGGTCAGACGGTGTGGAGAGTGAGGTGAGTGTGGATGACGGTGTGGAGAAGGATTTGGTCACAAAGCTGGTGGTGAAAGACCTTGGAAACTAAGTGGTCGAATGGGGTGTGGGGGTCGGGGCTTGAGGCATTGCTGTACAGGTCCACGTGAGTGTTAACAGAATCCCAGAATCGCCCAGATGAACTGAGGAGGAGGAGGAGGAGGGATGACTTGTGAAGATTCTGTGGAAAGCGGAGAGGAGATCCGAGATGATGCCTTTCAATTTCACCTATACCTATCTAGAACCTGACTGACTTCTCTTTTGGAGCACCAGCCACACACAATAGGGCTTTTTCCTATCAAAGAGGGGTCAATTGGGTTCCAGGTATACCGCCTTTGTAAAGGAGCTACGCCTTTCATAAGATACCAGGGATGTTTAGTTCATTGGACAAGTACGAGAGATGCAGTACCAGAGTGCTTTGACACATCCGCTTTGTGGAGAGTCTTGGTCCTGGCTATTCATCATCCCTGCAATCCCTGGTTCTGTGTAATCAATGATGACTAGTGACCTAACAATCGGTTTGAGGGAACATTATCTACAACATTCTACAACTATAGGTTCATGGCTTTTGGGGTGAGAAAACGAGAATCACCGCACCGACATCACCACCGGACAGCATTTCCCGCCAAAGGAACCGCCGAGTCGGTTGGTCTCTTCGTGGTGCAGATCTTCGGCATCGATCACCTGGGCCGTCGTGACTGGCCGTCACGACCGGCCGGAGAAGTGGGAAGGAAGGGACGTGGCGCAGAGTGGGCCGGCAGACGTGGCGAAGCTTCAACTGACAGATGTTCTGGGATGCTTTTGGGGGGATTCCATCTATAGGCATATATATTACCAGACACATGGAGTGTCTGGGAGAGGTGAAGCCTTTTTCACCCCAAGGCCCTGCATGGCCAAAGCGCCAGGCCCTGCAGCGCGCTTTGTATCATATATCGGTTTGGAGCGAATAAATCCATGTACACATGAATAAGGTGTCGTCTTTTTGTACAACTATATATATATATATATATACTCAAGATTACTCAAGTATGAAATCCTTCCATCGGGCTCTTGCACCTAGCCCATCACTTCAAACATTACTTCATCCCATCTGATTCATCCCTCCTCCGCTCGTCGTCTCCTCGGCTCAGTCTCTCTGCTGCGCCAGGTCACGCCGTCGCCGTTGTGATCGAAGCGGGCGAATTTGGAGTTCCAGCAGTCTTGAGAGATCCGGCTCTGGGAGCCTCCATCGCAGCTGGACATGACCTGAAGAGATCGGGGCGAGATCATCAGTGGCGAGATCGGTGGCGCGCAAGCGATGATTCCGTTCGTGCCGTTTTGCAACAGGTGCCGGAGGGTGATTCACAATATCACCACTGCAAGGTAGAAGGAAACGATATCGTTGATTTCTTCGACAGGTCTCATGATGTCTCATGAACCGACGAGTTGATCTGTGCGACCTGACCGGACAGCTCAGCTCACTGGTCAACCTCACTGAGCCTGTGGTCGGGGGGGGGGCGGTAGTTCTTGGGATCTTGGTGGGGGTTCACCCACAGCTGCATTTCATCAAGGTCTAAGATGGTCTAAGGGATGCAACTACCACAACTTCCCATTTGACTACCATGCTTCTAAGAATCCTTTCAGGCCTGCATGTATAGAATCCTTTCAGGACAACCATTTGGTCTATACTTTTGACATGTGAATCTTGTGAGGAATGGCTATAGGCTCAGGGTTTCCTGCTACATGTTGACCAATTCTCGATTCTTGAACACAGCATACCCCTGCGGCAATCACATCGGTCCAGGCTGGCCTGGTAAAAGGAGGCGTCAGCAAAGACTTCCTGCGCCCAAAGACTCTCTTTGCTCGCGGCAGCCTCTGCATGCGTTTGTAAGAGCTGCAGCTCCTGCGCGGTTTCTTTCGAAAGCTGAGAAATCCTCGTGACTGTTCTGGCTGTGGAGCTGAAAACAGGGAGACTTCGACTTCTTCCGGCCCCAGCCCCAGCAGGATTGAGGAAAACCCATGGAACCACCCCATCTTCAGCACCTCCTCCAAGCATTGCGCCGCCAGGGCCCCTGGCAGCGCTAGCAGCAGGACTCGTGCCAGGCGCAAGACACGCCGGCCAGTTCCCATGGCAGGACTGGTGCCGCACGGGAGGGAGAAGCACCGCTGCACGAGCAACGTGGTTAATGGTGTGGTCAGGTCAGTCAGGGGGGTCCGACTATAGGATCCAATTAGGAGATCCTGAGCAAGCATAAGATCTGGATAGTTGTTTTTCTTCGACAGCAAGCTCAAGAAGTCTCTTGAACCAGAAAGTTCACACGTAGACGGATTGGGCAGAAGATGATGAAGACGATATCCATCCCAGACAGTCCGCAGCGGAAGCGGCGGAACATAGCAATACAAACCTCCTCGAGGGGATCAACACAAGATGGATCCAGCTTTGAGGATTTTCACGCTAAGAGCAAGATGAGGAATCAACCTAAACCCAAACACCCCATGCAATCATCACATGGTCTCAATCCCATTGGGGTCACTGTAGGCCACGAGTGTCGGAGTGTCTGGCTTCGTTGGTTCACCTTTGGTATACGGTCCGTCCACCTTGATGCTCCCCCCACGTCCCGTCTCGTCTCCCACCGAACGGTCCGCACCTCCAACCACCAACGATTCCGCCAGCCACGCACGGAGCCATGGCCACCGCTGCGGCCAAAGGACAGAGCTACAGGACCTACAGTTAAAACGATGGATCCACTTCCAAGACTAACTACATCTAACTACCAAGAATCACTGCTTACATGTAGTTTTCGTTCTCTTTCCTAAACATGCCGATATCTCTGACTACCACAAGCGGACAAACAATCTCTCTGAAGTCCCCAGAATGACGAAAAAGAGTGAAAGGGCACAATGACTCTTCCTTTTAGTCTTTGAGGTTACCCACAATGTCCTCTTTACTTCCACATGCCAACCTCTATCTCGGAAGACTGAGGCCACAATGACTGACCGCCTCACCAGCCTGATCTGCGCTGGACATGACTGACCCGTCCCGTCCGGCGCGTCGCGCGTCGCTCTGACGGTCCGGACAGCTAAGCCGGTCAAACGAGCGGGTAGACCTGGGATGGCAGGATGCTGTGTGACAGGACTGTCAGTTGGGGCAAAACATGAGCTTAGACAATCTTAGACAGCTAAGACCGTTCAGGTCCATCGTCGTAGCTCGGGTCCTTGTGGCTCTTTGTGGCTGTCCAGCGAAGGCCCCCGGGCTGCTCACGGCCGCATCCGCACGGGAATAGACGCTGTCGAGGCCTCCGCACCCGCTGTCTGCCGTGGCAGGCGGCTGATTGAGGGCACCCTCGAAAAAGGGGGTGAGAGAGGCACAAGCTCGTGGGTGGTGGGACAATGAAGTGATACACCGGTGTCAGAAGCGATCGGAGGAACGGGGCGACCCTGGTGGCCGTATACTACGCTACGGAGGGAGCGATCGGACGCTGACCCGGGTTCCAAGACATCGATGTTCAAAGGGTCATATTCGTTCCGGCGCGCCGATTTTTTTCTGCAGGGAGGAGGCGGGAAGGACGAAGGCTTTTCTTCCCAGTGTATTGTTGTGCTGCGATTGGTTGAGCCAGCCCAATATTTTAGCACAATCATCCATAATCTCTCCTTAAACAATGAATCCTGACACCTGGACCTAAACACCACGACTTTTGATGACAGTGGGATGCACATGGATGCACGTTGAAAACTATCAACTGCAGCCACGCAGGGAGCCATGTCAGAGCGTCCGTCTGGGCCTATGCTGTCTGCTCCTTCCACGTAGGCAGCTTGCAGGATTTCCTGACAAACCGCGACCGAACGAGGCATACAAACTCTAGCTCACCCACACATATAGCCATAGCCCCAACAAAAAGATCCATAGAAATAGAATGAAATAGATGGCGATATAAGGCCATACGATCTGGAGTATCACCCACAACTCCCAAATTGACTCATGGCATTCCCGACCCCGTGCCTCGAGCGTCAAAGTCACACCTGTCGTGACATGACGAAACGAAAACAACGGGGTCCGGACCACACCGAGCCGCAAGGGGCCTGGTGCGGAGCTGTCTACACGGGGGTTCCGAGACCCACATGGATCTACATGGAACCGGGCGAACGGCATGGACCAAACGGGCAAAATGGTCTTTTTGTTCTCTACAACCCAGTGCTGTTCAGGTCCCATGTGGGGTCTATTGCTTGGGGGTATCCCCTGACAGAGTTTTGACCAACCTTGCCCCATGTCAATCATGCAAATTTGACCAGATTGATATCCTTTTCCTCAAAACTCGTTTTAACATGTCCAAACATGGAGTGAGTGTGGTAGCATACTATCCGAGATTTCAATGTGTTAAGACGCGTCAAGTACAAACCCACAAATATAGAAACCAAATCATTCGTGCGAGCGTGAGCTATCCTGCATCCAGTTACTAGAAGCTTACTAGGAGCGAACAAGTGCAGGGCCGAGCGGGCTAAAACAAGAGATAACACCTGGCTTTGAAAAACAGAAACACCGTGCTGAAAGACACACACACATGCTACAAACAAGAAAAACACAAACATGGGCTAATAAAAGAAACACCGTGCGAAACAAATAATTACTCAAACACACACACAGGCCGGGGCCAACAAAAAACACACCCAGCAAAAGAAACGAACAAACGAAAACCGGACTAAGCACAGAAAACACACGGCTTAACATGTCTATCAAAACAATTAACCAAACCAACAGAGGCACACCTGGCGAAAGAAATACAACATACAAAAGAACATGTGTCCAACTCGTTTGGGTCATCACCCCGGCACGTGCCATTCGCCGCTTCCCGTGCTCCGCGTCGATCCCGGCACGTCTCGTGCGCCTTGTCCGGGCTGAAAACGCTTCACTTCAGCACCACTGGGACCTCGGTCGAGGCGAGTGAAGGCCGCCGTGTTCGCCCCAAAAGCCTTTTGATTGTGGCATGTCCATTTTCCATCGTGTTCCATGTTGCGTGGTATGTTTTTGTTAGATAAGTCCTACAGCACTACCTACCTACCTACCTCCCTGCCTGCCTGCCTGCCTGCCTCCCTACCTACCTACCTACCTCCCTCCTGCCTGCCTACCTACCTCCCTACCTACCTAACCTTCTTCTCCATATAGACCTTAGGGCCTTAGGGTCCAAAGGCTCCAGGCTGAAGAGCACCGAAAGCAGCCCCACATCCCAGCCTGCAGAAGGCCGGGCGGCTGGCTTCGTCAAGGAGGTCGTCTTGTTTGGGTCATAGATGGTTCCTTATGGGTGGGGGACTGCTGGGAAAACACCCACGACTATGGCATTTTGCAAAACAATGCATTTTTGTCCTGATGCTTTGGGAAAGCTAGTCTTTTAGCCGTAGCTTGGTAGCTTGAAGTCGTTTTAGACCTTGGGACGCTCAGTTCAAATCGGAGCTCCACTCCACCCCAACTGGAGAGTGGCCTTGCGATTTATAGGCGCCCGAATGAGCCTGGTGGGCGCGGTCGGTGGCCAGAATGCTAGGTGCAATTGGTGTAACACCCAGCCACCAGCCTTGGGGTGTTCAATGGTTCATGGCATGGGAGTCATATATAGACTAAAAGACAGATAAAAGACAGGATACAATCAGGATACAAATGGACCAGCTTTTCCCCTGCAACCCATGTGTGACATCAATGGGCACGACATGAGTCTGAAGCGCAAAGGGCACGCGCTGTGCGCTTGCGCGCGCACGCATGGGGCACCTTGAGCGGCGGTGCACGCTCCATGAAGCTCAGGCTGTTGTAGACGGGATAGACCACAAACTGATGATTAAACCTGGCGGTCCATCTTACGCGCTCTCTCTCTCTCTCTCTGTCGTCTGACACTCTCCTCGGTCTCACTTCCGCCCACTGCGTGGGTTTGAAGATGGGAATGATATGGAATGACGGCTCCTCTTGATCCCCTCTCTGTCATTTGCCAACACCCCAAAAAGGCCCAAGCTAGCGAGGACTCCTGTGCCACCTGTGCTTCTGCCGTGCTGCCGTGCCCGATCTGCCCCGCGCCGACTCGGCGCTTCGCTTCGCTTCGGACTCGACGGCTCCACGAGACTGCCAACTTCTCGATGGCTGGCACCTCGGAGGTCCGAGGCCACGGAAGAGGCGCCACGTCCAGTTCGAGTGCGAAGTGAGAGCAGGAGGGTGGAGGAACTGGTGGAGGAGTAGGTTGTTCATATCCTTTTTTCACTCGAACTGGTAGCATCTGGTGGTCCAATAAGGAAGTAGAGGTTTGAGGCTTCATCACATCTTTAAAGATTCTAGTATGGGTACTTTTCAGGATCGACTCAGTAGAATAGAGTATATTGTAATATAGGATTCTCTTGAATTGTTCTAGCGCTCGGCGATAAAGACTCGCCATCAAAATTCTCATCTCAGCCAAGTCACAAAGTAATCCTGCTGCCATACACACCTGAGACAATTGCAGGTCACCAAGAAAAGGGCATATCTGCAGTGGCCCAGTCTCATCAAGTGCCATGAAGCATGCAGGTCATCACATCAACCTGGGCCCCCCAGCACAGAACTTTGGAGTGTGTAGCCCTGGGCGCGGCAAAGACATCACGAGACATCTAGTCCAGCTCGCCAGCAGTGTTGCCCCAGCCTTTTCATCTCTGACTCTTGAAGAATCAAATTCACCATTGACAATGTCTTCCACAGTCCAATACTGTCGATGAGGAGTGGGAAGTCTTTCTTGCACATTTATCCCTGAAACTCCTCGCTCGTATATTATACACCCTGAGAATGTTTGACCCTCCCAAAGAGTTGCGGGCTGCACCAAAACAACAAAGAATGCAGTCTTCTGACCGTTTCCGAAAAGGGCCAAAAGAGTCGGCGAAAGGAAAGAATATGAAAGAAGTCAGCATTCCCAACCATCATTCCTGCCAACCTTTTGGATCTTTTGCATCAGACCGACTCCATCCCTATGACCCAGATCGACTCGCGCGTCCTCCGCGCGGCTCCCTCCGCTCCGCTGGGCCCCACGGCCATGGCACAGGAGCCGTTCACCGCTTGCAGCGTATCGGTGAGTCGATAGGACGTGGGCACGAAGGCCTCGGAAACGTGAGGACGCTGGTGAGAGGCATAGGTGTCCGGAGGAAGGAAGGAGAACACGATGAGCACACTGGGAGATGTTTCAGGGGAATTTTCTAAAACATTTTTGAATCCAGAATATAATTTGAATATGTTTTTAGAGTTTCTACCAGGATATGCATTGAATCCTGGTAGAACTGTCCCTCGAATGCTGGCCCCGCAACTCCTGCCACGCTGCCACCACAGAATGCCCGGACAATTGCATCCGACATCTGAAAACGGCCCCGTTGAACATCACCTCATCACCTTCCGCCTCTCCGCCGTTCTCCCCGCTCATCATGCCGTGCCTCCTCTCCGGAGATCCGAAGAAGCTCGGAGGGCTGAAGACCTCGGGCGCCCGCGCCCGGTGCTCGACCCGCGGTCTCCCGTGGTGCTCCGGGCAGTGCTCCGGGGCTCCGCGCAGTGCGTCGTGGAGTTCGGATGTCCACAGCGACGGAGGCACTCGAAGGGGCCATAGCTGTCTGCCTCGGAGGGAGGCCGAGGGGTGGAGCGAATGGGAAGTGGTTTAAGTGTCCAATGTTCTGATGGAGATTTAGTATAGACTCATATTAAAAACCTCACAATCAGGTTTTGTTCTGGTCACCATGGGAAAATCTCAAGGATGTTGGGTTGCTAGTTTCACTCTCCTGGTCCTTTCCCAAGATACTGTGGGAGTACAGGAAGAGTATTTAGCAGTTGACTGTATGCACACGTAGGTCCTTTCCTCCGGCTATTCAAAAACATGGAAGGTGACCTACATTGCATCACATTGTGGTCATCTCGCTTCAACTCAACCAATCGACCCGACTTCGCTCTCCCTTCGGACAACTCGGTTCTGCGACTCCATTGGTGTAGGTCAACGAGCCACAGTACGACGAGGAGTCCTGCAAATGTGCAGAAGACGACCAGTTCAAGCTAGTGGACCAGCACTCTGTGTGGACGAACGAGCCCTAGACATGCAGGTCTTTTTTTGGGTTCGTCTCGTGCATGCTGGAACTTGTAGGATGCAACGAGGGCGGAAAGCGCCTAAGCACAAACAAGAAAAACAACGGGAAAGTGTCAAACACAACTACTACGCCACCCACCAGGATTTCAGAGCGAAACGTTTTCCGAACCTGATCGGTCATCGCATCCATCCTGCTTGGCAGCGGCCTGGGCGAAACGAGACAGGCTCAGAATCCGAACCAAGACAGGCTCTTTGGGGCCATTGGTTGACCGAGCACTTGGAGATTTGTGGCAGGGCTTCAGTCCAAATACCATGATGCTTCCATAGCTTGGTTGACTGGTGAAGCGAGCGGAAGCGAGCGAAAGGACACCCAAACAATGAACTGGCAATCGGTTTGTTATTGTTGCACCAATGTCTTAGTCTTGGTGCTTTTCAGTTTGCTATATAGTTTTAGCCAAACCATCATGAAAGTGGAATGCATCCAGTTTGTGTAGGATTGCCTTCTTCCTTCGCAACCCTGCTCTTTTTTGCAACAAGACGAGCGCTTCGTCGCTGAATGGCCATTCCAAGCATTGCTGGCGGAATGTGAGTGTTTGGCTTGGGTTGACTCCTTGGGCCCGGTGAGAAAATCCCAACATCTTTGGGGGGATTGAACAAACACCTCCTACCGGTTAGAAGGGCCTTCAAGGGGTGGTAGACATGGACACCACTTAACAGCTAAGGGGCTATAAATAGACACCCCCTTGGAGGGTACAAAAGCACCAACCATGCAGCATGTCTGATTCCAAAGTTTCCCCTGCACACGATCTGGAGTTCAGCTACCATGTCCTCCATCCGAGGGCAAAAGAAGTCCACCTATAAGCCCGGTGGATTGAATTTGCAATCCATTTCGGACACCGAAGACACCAAACATGGGACTGGCACAGGTGCCATACAATTTGGGGTGGGATTCACAAAAAAAGGGGTCCACGTAAGCATCTATTTCCAGTCTGGAGAGTCTGGGAACGATTCCGCGGACGCTTTAGCGCCCCGGCTCACAGCGACTGCCACAGAAGGTGACCTGGAGGAAAGGTGAGAAAGGGAGCTGTTTTGATCGGAGGGACTGGTGGATTCCGTGTGGATATGAGCGATTTCAAGTGGGTTCCGAACAAATCCCCAAACACATGGAACCACCGGAACAACACCGGCGCAAAAACCCCTCCATCCACCACCGTTTCAACGTTTGTTCCGCTGTGGTCTTGCTCCCCTGCAAAAACCGCACCGTTGATTCGCGGCCACGCAAGGGCGAAGACGCCGCGCAGGTCGCGCCTGAGCGTCCGGTGTTAAGGACACGGAGTATTGCTCGGGCCGTTGCACGAAGTACCAAATGGTCAGTGCCTCGGCGGCATCATCGCATCGCGCCGCTCTGCCGGTTCCGCGGAGCAGGGGCGTTGCGTGGTGCTCGCATTGCTTTTTGAGCACCCGGCCAGGACTACAATCTCCAGGAAGCAGTAGACGATGTTGACCCTGACCGGAATTGTCATCAATTGCGCGGAAGATCCAGAGAAAATCATGGGTATTGCATCTTAATCATGAATTCCTTTCTCTTTGTTACAGCAATCTCATGCTCTCCTTGCCAGTGAAGGAATGTCTTCCTAAAAAGACGAGCAATTGCAAATACTGTCCAAAGAAGAACACACGACACACATCCCAGAGATTGGCTGAAATAAGACATGGACCTGAAAGGGACCATGTCTGTTCGCAATCTTCTACATCAGGTAAGTACGCTACTAGGAGCAAAGGGCATCGCTACTAGGAGCAAGGACGCTACTAGGGGCAAAGGGCATCGCTACTAGGAGCAAGGACGCTACTAGGGTTACTAGGGGCAAAGGGCATCGCTACTAGGAGCAAGGACGCTACTAGGGTTACTAGGGGCAAAGGGCATCGCTACTAGGAGCAAGGACGCTACTAGGGGCTCCTGGCATCGCTACTAGTAACAAGAAGATACTAGTAGCTTTTTCGTCCTTCAGGTGGATTTAGTGGCCGATCACTCGAGCGGGTATGGATCCAAATGAACAACGGGTGGGTCAATGAACGTCGACACCTTGCTACTGAAGATGGACTGAGTCTGGCTAGACCGTGTGGCTAGACCGTGTGTGGTGTGCCAGTTGGCTAGACCCCAAAACCTGCTTGCCTGGTTCAAGATGTTCAAGTCATGACCAGCAAGACTGTTTTCGTCAGCGCCCAACGAACGGCGAATCCAGCGGGACATGGATGTATGATGGTGGGACATCAAATACAGCAAACAGTGCTTGCCATGTTTTTAGGTTTTTCGTATGTTCAAGAACAAACAACATTCCTTTTCCAACTGCTGTGGGAAAACGCAAATTGCCGTCTGCCTCTTGTTCGCTATGTCCACGCTCTTGGGCAAATAAACCACACCACCTGAGAAACTGCAAAGCTTTTACCCGTTTGTAACAACCAACATCTATGGAACTCTACGCAAGCAATACCCGATCGGACGCGACGTAACCATGCAATATGCTCATGTCCCTCTCTTCTGTTGATGGCCGAACTCCACCAGGAAAACGACGATGGCCGCCATGAACACATCTTCCAAGCTTCCATGATCTTCCATGTCTCACCCATGTCTTTTCGCTTCTTTCAAGGAGACAACGACCACACGGCGACGGCGCATACACTCCACACTTCGCCCACTCTAGACCGACCGTCGGGTGCTCCACAAACACTTCGCCCCCTGAGCTTCCAGCTACTCGCCCAGTCGTTGATTCGCCTCGGGTTCCGAACGTCGAAGACGGAGTGCGAAGGCAGTGGATGGATGCATTTCACTTCATTTCGAACAGTCAATCGTGTCACACTAGATTGAACATCATAACATATGATCATAGTGTTCACCCCTTTTCAACCACCCCAATGGACTTATGGAGTGTCTTCAAACGGTTGAACCGTCGAGACGCAGTGCTTGGCTGCTGAATGCGGCTGTCGTTCTGTCGCTCCGTTCGGCCGAGCCGGCCGCCGCCGAAGCGCGTCGCGCGTCGCGCGCGTTCGTTGGGCTCGCCGACTGCAACAGGGTTTTTCTTTCCGTCTCTTCCAACTCTTCCTCATCCTCAGCGGCCGATCCGTGAGCCGTGAGCACAAAGGTGGTGGTGGACAGGTGGGTATTATACCCAGATGGCTCTTGAGTCCACGCATGGCAAGGATCAAAGCACGCTGGTTCTTTTGTCCCAGACCATCCATGTATGAAGTTGAGGCAGGGTCATACATGGGGTATTGCGCGCACGATTCCATACATGGATGATATCAGATTCTGTGCAAGTCCCTGAGTCATGACACCTTCCAGATCTTTCTCGCTTTCAGAACTCCGGTTTGTCGGCTTTGCAGCATGCTTGCTTTGCTTCGCTTCGCTTCCAGCTTTGAGCTCCACACGACGAAGAAGGTCTTTCTTGGAATCGACACCACCTGCACCCGTAAGAAGATGCTTCGGTCTTTGTGGTTGGAGTCGCATGCACCCCATGTTGCCCCGTCATAGAAGCAAATTGGGATGGAGTGAAGGTGAATCAGTTGCAGATCAAGAGCTACCCTCCTGCAGAGGGCCACATGGACCCCTTCCAAAACCACTGGGTTGTAGAGGACGCTTTTTTCCTGTGAATTCTGAGGGTCCAAACAGCTCGTCTGCCGGGGGTGCTCGGATCCTTTCACCGCCAGTCGTCCGACGTAAGCTTCTCAACCCAAAGAGATGGCGCTCCGAACCCGTTTTTCAACCAGCGATCGGTCCACAACAGAACCAATACCGCCCCCGAACCGTGTTGGTGTCGACCAATTTTGGTCCAAAAGGGCCTAGAGTCTAGACCGGTGAGGAACGGGGTGGACACCAAAACCGGCCAGTTTTCTTTTTTCCTTTCTTTCCAGGTGATAAATCCCGGGCGCCTGTGGTTGGAGGTCGGCTCCAGTCTCGGCTCGCATCTTCGATCCAGGAGGATCCGTGCAGGTCCGTGCGGGCAACACGTGCGCGGAGAAAGCCACCGTGGCGGTGCCGAGACCAGTCTTAAAGCCGAGCAACATGACTCCTGACCTCTTTTGGATAGGAAAAGGGACATCACTGGTTGGTATTGCTTGGCGATCCTAAATCTGAGGTCACTCAGATTCCGTCTGCCACCACCCAAGAGCTTATCGTGGTCAACAAGGCGCCCCCTGGGTTGCTTCTCCCTTCTCCACGGCCTGTTCCTCGCCGTTCTCCTCGGCTTGCGCCTGATTGGACGTGTGCCGTCTCGAGACATTGCTTGGTCGATTGAGTTGAACTGGACAGTGGCCCCAGGGGAATCTCACTCTATAGTCTTGCGTTCACCAGCTTATAGCTCAAAATAAGGGATCTACTCCGAATGTGAGGTCATGGGATGCTTCTGGTACTGGGAAGCAACCTGTGGTCCTTGGTGAGATCTGCGCCATGTGGACCCTGCCCCATCCAGCAAACTACCTGGAGTCTCAAGGTACCTTGGAAAATGGGTACAGTCGTACCTGTTTTTATGGGGTCATGTCATGTCCCATTTTCTAAGGTACTTTGGAGGGTCCAGGTACTTCAAAGACAATCGAGGCAATTCTTGGACTGCAGTCCTGGCTCCCCTGGAGGCAACATTTGTCAAAGATTTTGAAGTCTCATGTTCGTCCTACTACTGGCATTATTCACCTGAACCCTCTACCACCATGTTGCCATATATCGCCTTTTTGTAGCAAACCAAACCATCCCCGCAATCGAACGAAGGCAACCCAGCCAACGCGTGCAGCTCGCAACTTGTATGGGGCCTCTTCCGGTGTCGCGGGAGGAGCCTCGTCGGCACAAATGTCCGGAACTGGCAAACAGCAAAAACACCCAGGTGAAACTGTGCCACCTGGATCTTCCACGCAAAATCTCTGCCAACAAATGGCTATGTCCTTGCATGCTATGTCTGGGCTTCATGGAGAAAAAACGAGCTTTAGCATATCGTTGGATGGTCTTGGTATTTTGATGCGACCAATTTCCGTTTTTTGAAGCCACACATGCATGGACAGCAAGGCATGGACCCACGAGTTCACATGCCTGAAACTGGCAGGATACTACTTGTGTGAGAAATCTACTCCTGACAAATACCCAACATCAGCACTCTTTCTCGTCTCTTTCTCCTTTGGACCTAGCCATGTCCAGTTCGAACATGATGGCCACAAGAGCCGCGTCCAAACGGGATGCCTCGTCCTCCTTCTTGTTTTCCTGCAGCACGTCGGCAACCCGCAGTGTTGCAACGTGTGGTCCACTGGAGGCGTGGTCCGCGTGGTCCGCGTTTTTCCGATCCAGACAGTCGACCCCGAACGGGCAGAACGGTGGTCCAACATCGGTCACTCAGGTTCTAGGTTACTCGGTCGCCCTTAGTCTATATCGTATCCAAAAGCACATTACTTTGCCAGTATCATGGGAAGAAGGGGACTGAGTCATGGTGCACGTTTTTAGGTAGTACACCATTGGAATCTTCGTCCCTTGGCAACGCACCGGCCCCAGCTGCTGATTCCAAGTCGTACCACGCGGTTGACCCGATCCAAGCACCCGATCCATGCAGCCGTGGGCACGAAGACACGGCGGAGTCGTGGAGTCAGCCAGTGTCAGTGTCAGCATGGCATGGAACGAAGAAAGGACATACACTGGCACTGACACTGAAAGTGTCAGAACCATGGAGCAGAACCATGGCCAGTGTCAGTGTCAGTCATACATGTTAGTGTCAGATACACCCTGGAAGACGATGCCATGGACCCTGAAAACCACTGGTTGGTAGAGGACATACACTCTTCCAGCGGGCCAGGACGTCAGACTGTCAGGGTCTATGTGAGTTTTCGGGACTGTAGCTGATTCCACCAGATCTCTGGAATTTCAAGAACCCACATCCTATTTCCAGCAGTCACGTTCGACGGGGTGCGATCCATGGAGGTCGTCGGGGTGCCGAACTGTCACATCCACAGCCCCTGGATGGGACGAAACGGCACACCACCCAACTCCAACGTGACTTCCCAGGCGCCGGTGTTTCTTTCGTCCGGTCCAGGTCCGTGACCCCCCCCCCTCCCCGGTGAGGACATCGTCCGGTCCTCTACGAGAACATCGTCCGGCGCCACAGCAGTGGATGCCTGGACGTTTTTTCGGCACTTGACGTGATCGGCATTCAGTCCAGTGAAAAATCACCAGGTCACCCCAATATGTATATAAGCTAGCTCATATATATGTACCTGAGTCTTCCAACGACATGACACATGGATGCCTTTTCATCCATAAAAGCCAAAAGGCCGACATTTGGCATCGTTGGAAGATCCAGGTACGTATATTCCATACATGGAGTGTCTGGGTACTGTTTACATGGATATACCTTTAGATTGGTGAACCTTGACCAGCCAGGACAGGCAGGGGAGAAGGCAAATTCCATTGAAAGTTGGGTCATGTTGGGAGGAAAAAAACCACTACCAGGAGCGATCGGATGCTACGAACGGGGCTTTTCCTGGCGAGTCCGACTCGAACGGGAGCGATCGGACGCGGACCTTCCTCCGCCGTTGTTCGCTGCTTGTTCTGCCTTTCCACCCTCCCTAGACCCACACGCGATCCGCGCGATCCACGCGCAGTGCTCACCTGAGCCATGGCCGGTCGCCGCGGTGCTCGGCGGTCCGTGGCCGGGCACGAACCACAAGGGTCGCGCTGCGGACGACGCGAGCACTGAAGACCACAAACAGTTGGCGCCCAAAGTGGGTTGAGGCGTCGTTGAAACTTGGCCTCATATCAGAAAGTGGATCCGGAAGATTATCAGGAGATATCAGGAGAATGCATCTTCAGCCTGTAGTGGAAATTTGTTGTCTGGTTCTTTATTGCCTCGCACGCTGCAGCAAACCCTGGAAGCGTGGCATAAAATTTTAAGAACAATTTGTATCCAGACTCTGTTTGTTCGGTGGAGTGTTGATATTTTTTGGAGGAGTCTTTTTGAACTTGATCCATGCCCAGCAATAAGTTGATTGCCATGCAAGTCTGGTATTGCCTCATAAGACATCGACCCCTTAATTGTAAAAAGCAATGAAAAAACTCCGTGGACGAGACAAACCGCTCTTGTTGTGCCAGGTTCACCCAACTGCTGTCTTTTCCTTGCCCGTGACGTTGTGCTACGTAGGTACCCGCCACGGCAAAAGCCACGTGCCTGTGCCCCCGCAAAAAAACCATGGACACGGGTCATCTCTTCATCTACCTTGAGGTGTTCGGAGGATCCTCCAATCTTTGGAGCCCCATAATTGTATCCCTACAAATCCAAGTACCTTCTGAGAATGTGATTAGAGACACTGTGATGTAGGTGCCATTGTCGGGTGCATACCGAACCGTTCATGGGACTGCCATAGGACGGCCCAGAAAAGGCCAGGGGTGGTGCCAGGGGAAAAAAGCACATGGGGCGCTGTCATCTACCAGTCCCATTAGTCGTGAAGGGGAATGGTGCTTGGAAGTCCATGACAACGGAAGGCGTGCCGTGTTCGTCGTGGTTCCAGCGTCTTGAGTGCCGTTTTCTCTCCAGCTGGTGCTAGCGGTACAACGGCCGCGGCCGCTGTGCCGGTGCGTGAAGGACTGCAGGACCTCTCCAGCCTCTGCCACCTCCACGACCACGACTGGTGACTACTGGTGACTGTCCCTCCAGGCCTGGCCTCACTGTCCACTGGGTTGCTTCTGTTTCAGCACCCAGCAAAGGACCCCTCTGGTTCTAGGCCCCTCTGGAGACCAAGGACGTTAGAGAGACGAAACGACGGAAACTGAAACTGAAACCTGCTGAAACCTCAGCACATCTGCCTCCACAGCCAAATGTTTCCATGCCCTGGAACTCAAGGTTGACACATCCCGGAAACGGGTTTTAGAATACTGATCGAGTTTATTGATGAGTACTTAGGATTGAACTATATTGTTAAATATGATATACTATTCAAAGGACCATATTGAGTTCCAAGAACATTGTGTATTTACAAAGCTCCACATACAGCAGCTTGATGAGTCTCATCTCACTAGTACTGGACCACCTCAACCGATCCTCTGCCCCTCGATGTCATGTGCTCGACGGGTGGACCTGGGGCTCTTGTGAATCTGCACCTGGGTCGCGGAGTCCCGTTTCGGCCGCACCGGTGGCCGAAACCCTGCTCGCGACGCGTGAAATGCTCGCGTGATCCGTGGGTTCTACGGAGAGCGCCAACAGCAACGCACTGATCTCTGGAGCTTCCTCTGCGGTCTCGCGCGCCAGGTATTCCAGGCGCCACCTCACCCAATCGCTGCCCGTCGTGGACTGGCTGCCCATGTCAGCGACGGTGGCTGAGGGAGCAAGCCGAACACCTTTTTAGCTGGGCTTCTCAATGTTCACCTACTCATTGAGCCAGGCTGCGACGGTGGCTGCTGCGATTTCTGCTGCGAGAAGACGGATCTGGTCCCTCCAATCCGAGTAGTGAGGGTCACGGTCACCCGAAAAAAGCCGTATCCAGCAGGGCGGAAAGGGCTCCTGGCCTACCTCCGTTTCGGTTTGGTGGTTGCGGTGGGTGCCAGGGGGGTCTAACATGGTCTAACCATCGGAGATGGGACGATCGGAGCTTGGAGTCCCGGTCCCCAGCACCCCGAGATATGACGAACGGAGTTTTAGATGATCTTGTTGCAGTGAAACGTTGACTCACCAGCGACTGCTGGCAAATAGCAGATCTGCTGGGAACTTGGTCCATCCTCCATGCAGGCAGGCCGTCTATTTGTGAATCTGTCTACCCCAGTCTCAAGCCTTTTCTGAGCTGCTACTTGTTTTGCCTCGCTTCCAAAACCGAGTTCAAATGCACAAAAGTCCACTCGCTCGCTCTTTTCGCCAACATAATCAAGGTGCCATTCGTCCGCCCGAGTCAGTCACAGGTCACAAAAAAAAGCCCTCAAAATGCAGACAGAAGCATATACTCTTGTCTGGCGGCGTCAGGCTGCGGCGTCACTCAGGTCTCAGTGTTCCTCCTGGCAGAAGCTGGAGTTCCGCGATCGAGAACAAAAACGACGCGAGAGCTCCGAATCTAAGCCTGAAGAACAAGATGAAGATCGGAAGGATTTATATCATGACTTCAGAATTACGCTTCAAAACGGTTTAGGGCCAGTTCTTCTTCCCTCGAAACCTGCCTTGATCGACATGAATATGCCAGGTCCACCCGGGCCATAAAGATCACTCTTCCATACCATGGGACTGGAATATGATGGAATAAAGTAAAAAAGAACACACCGTAACACACCCATGAAACACATCCATGTGAAAACATGGTTCATTCATGTTCATTCCATGAATTCAACGGTGCGTGCAACACATTCCATGAACAATTCTTCATTCCCTAAGAATCATTGGACCCTCCGAACTGGAGGGTCTTGGACCCTGCAGAACACAGGGGTTTGGACCCGAACCAAACCTTCACCGAACTGAGGGTCTTTGATTCTGGACATGAAAATACTGCAAACCTCAGAAGTGAACACCATTTGAACACAAAAGATGTCAAAACCTATTCAACATGGTCCAGTCCCGAACCACTCCCTTCACCTCATCCAGTCCCTCAAGACCTTCACCTCATCCACTCACCCGGTGGGTTCCATATAAAGGTCACGGGTGCACCGTCACCGCGCCTCGCTGTCGCTGCCACCGCTCAAGAGACGGCGCGTGGCGATCAACTCCTTGCCGTGGAACACGACACGACACGCCGTGACGAGGGACCTGCAGGTGCCTGGTGCCCTGGCTCTCATTGAAAAAGATGGCAAAACCAAAGGGTTAACCATACATGGAAGACCATTTTCCACTACAAACAGGTGGTTTTCCACTTCCATGTTAGTGAGTCAGAGGGTAACCATAGTTGACAATGATGCGCCTTATCTGAAGATTGCCATTATTTGACTTGTGCGACTCGTAGGGTGGCTGAAGGCGGCTGGATCCAATGGAACCTCCTCTCGGGGGCCGGAGACGTCCCTTATTCCCTGCGACTTGCACCAGTCACTTCTCCCTACGAAGCCCAGTCATGACCCATGAACTACCCCGAACTGGTTGTGGTGGATGGCTTGACCTCCAGGTGGGGTTGAATGAGTCCAAACGGAAGTTCCGGGATATGATGGCTGCCAATATCTTTCCACACTGTCCAAACGCAAGGGGTTGACATGTTCAAGCAAACAGGCAAGCTGGATCAAGGTCCGTTTTGCTTCCATGGCTGCTCTCACAAGTTGTAGAAACATCTAGAAATCTGCTTATCAAAAGACATTGGGCAGTTGGGCACATTCCTATACTGGACCGGAGTGAAGTTGCCCATGGCCAGGCCAGTTGATATGGTGCAATGCCTCTCCAAAAAGGAGGGCCAATGGACACCCTCTACGGGGCTATTAATGGATCAAGGGACACCTTTTCCGTGGTGCTGATTGTTGGCTTGTTTGGTTCTCATTGTCATAACCATGGGTCATAGATGCCCAAACACTCGATGGGACTGGAATATATGCCGATCAATTGACCCCCGAAACCACCACCCCAACTGATCGGCAGTCCTATGACAGTCCCATGAATCGTGTCTGGGATGTAAGAATCCCATTTTCCCAGACACGACCTGTCTGGGACTGCCATGTCGGACTGCCTACAACTATGCCTATTTCTTTGGGGTGGTTGACTGGGGGGTCTGGCTTGATCAGCATATCTTCCAGTCCCAGACAGCTCGTGTCCGAACCCGTGGAGCTCCACGAAAGCTTGCAACCACCACCCGGGCCGCGCCACCCGCGCACGACGTCGGTGGCACGTCGCCTTGGCGATCTCGGGCACATCGGTGTCACGCTCGATCTGGGAGAGGAGGAGGAGGAGGAGAGGTGAAGAAGGTGAGAAGTGGCCGCGGGCCAGAAAGACCCTTTTCCTATGACCAACTCCATGGAACAACCCAGAAGAAAAAACCAAGCTGCAAGCTGCTGAAGCTGCTGGTGAAAGGGAGAAAAAGCCTTCGTTCTTTTCACTGGACACCATCTGATCTCACTTTTTTATATTCAGCGCTCGTATGATGTGACGATGGTTTATAGGAGCCAATGGCAACCATAACAAAATTCATTCCTATATCTGAATGATTTTTAATGCTTACCGACTATCCCATCACAAAGGCATTTCCGCATTTTCCCGCACTGCTTGGCCACGCTTCCCACGCCCGAAGCCTTCTCAGTGAGGAAGAGAGGTGGCGATGAGCCGACGATGCCGTCCCTGATATAAGCGAAGGCATAGCTAGGTGAGTACCTTAGTGTCACAGAGTGAATAGGACACTTCCGTCAAAGACCACCTTGCACTGAACGACCTCCCCAGTGCCCACTGACAAGCCCAAACGGAGAACCTCCACGTCAACCGCACGTCTTCCCCGGCGCCGCCGCCGCCGTGAAGCGGCACTGTCCGCGTGAGTGAGTCGCGTCGTTCGACGCACGCACGGTACCGTCCGAGGGGCCGGATCCAATAGGAGGACTTCGGGGGAGACATGATCAAGGAGAGCACGCAAAAGCTGCAGGTGCCCACGAAGGCAAAGAGCCTCACCGACCGAGAAGGGGAGAACCGGCCGGAGGCGGGGTGGATGCCGGGTGTGGAATGCCAAGGGGCTGAAGGTCGGATGGAACAAGCTAAGCCCTGAGCAGGAGGTTCGGGTGAACATGAACACATAGAAACCTGTCCCCTTGACTGCCCTCTGTGGGAATATCGCCAAGGGCAGCAACTGCGCGAGCTGGTTTACGAACATGGACAACGAAGATAATGAAGTCTATTTCGGAAGTAGCATGGGATAATTGATATGATTGCCAAACAAAATTACATAGGTTCAACATGAACCTGTGATACATCCAATAAACATCGACTTGCACAACCCCCTGTTAAGAGACAGCAGTCTTCCCAACTCCGGTGGAGTACACACCGCGGTGTACGTTTTCTCTCTCTCTCTCTCTCTCGACGTGATCTCTCTCGGCCGTACGACTCCACCGCCTCACGGCAATGCACTGCTGCTTGAACTCTCCGTAGGACACCGCCGGCTTCATGAAGAAATTCCTCAGATGCCTCGGTTCGGAGCGCCACGCGCCCGTTTCAACACGCCCGGGTGACGCCCGGCCAAGCCCGCCGTACCGCCGGTACGGCGAGGTCGTTCGCTTCTTGGTGTGGCGAAGCCGCCGCGACCCTCTCGGTGTGTGCGTGGTTCCTGGTTGAAGCAGCAGGTTTAGGGACCAGGCTACGTAGGCGGTGTCCATATGGCTGGAGATGTCAGATGAATGACCCTGTGGCAACATCCTCCCAAGCTGTGTCGGATTCCAAGCTGTCCTCCGATTCCACACCCAGTTCTGACCGCACACAGTTGACCAATTCTTGGCGAGACCTGGTTTCTCCACCCCAAAGCCGAAAACCACGAGACGAGAAGAAACCTGACTCATTCAGTTCTCCTGGAAATTAATTCACCTCTTTCCACCTGCTCATCTTTGCTGTGGAAACTCACCCATACCAATCCCCCCTATATAACGGTTAAAGGAATTCAAAGGATCCGTTTACGCTATTTACGGTATTTAAAGATTACCCAGACGCTCATGGACCCTCCTAAGTAGGGGTCCGGACCCTCAAATTCCCTAGGGTTTTGAGGGACCAAGAGCTGTTTGGAGCGTCTGGGTATGCACTTTTCCATGGGTATACCCAGGTGATCCACTCATTCACCGTCTACCAATGTCTTCCGGAATTCCCACGACAACGATCTTATTTAAGTCATGAGATGCGACCGTGTCCCGGTTTTAGTAGCTACCAGGGGCCCCACAAACCATACAAATCCAGGTTTTCCCTATAGCAAAAACGACCTGGTTTTTTGTATGTGAAAACCTCGGTTTTTCATGGTTTTGTGGACCCCTGGTCCTTGCTGAGTCCTTGCTCCCTTCGCCGCGTCCCGCTCCGCGTCCCAAGGCGCGGCAGGTTGCCAGCGAAGTCGGTCGATCCGGGGCCGGTGACGCTGTCCTCAGACGCTGCGACGGATCGGGACGGAGGGACTGGGGGGGGGCCTGAAGTGGGGCCTAGGATCTGCTGGCTGTGAGGCAAGGGCCTAGGATAGGGATCTGCTGCCCATGAACAGATCCCATCCCACCATCCCGCCCACTCCACATACGTCTCGACCTCTCCACCGAGCGGCGCCCAGGCAGCGGCGGGCCATGCGGGCGGCGCCGCTCGGGCGGGGGATGCGGCGCAGCGAGGTGGCCAACAGCGACATGACCTGGGCCCGGAGGATCGGGAGGCGACCGAAGGCGACGGGAGGCGATGGACCGAGCGGAGCGAGCGGACGCATGCGCTAGTCGTATACGGCATACGGTCCACCAATGTGTAGAGGTGAGTGCGGACGCAGGTCGCTGAAGCATCGGGACCTATATCGATATGATCGATCAAGTGTTCCCATTTGCCCGCATGACAATATAATAGCGCATGACTACCAGGACCTGAGCCGTTCGTGACCTCTTTGGAGTCTGTTTGTGACCTCTTTAGGGACGAGTCGTGACCTCATTCTAGGATATCAAGTTCGGTCACTTTGAAGGTGTACATGGACCGCTTCACCACCCGCCCCAGTCGTCTATATCTCAAAGTGTCACCGTTTCGGTCCGCTCGGAGAGCGGTCCATAACCTAAGAGCCATGGCCTCCAACCTACTTGCGATGACCCCAACGTGTAGCCATGGACCATGCTGCCGGACTCCGAACTGCGCCCCAAACCACTCCGCCCCGCCAACCGCTCCGGGAGGCGTTCGGTCGCACCGGGTGAGGATCGTGGCGTTTCTTTCGCTCCGGTTCCCGGTGAACACTTGGAGCCAACCGACGCGGTGAGGAGCGGCGGTGGCGGGTGGATCAGGGTGGATCCGGGGCGTCTGAGATGCGTCGTTTTGGGTGTGAGTTGGTGGTGGCTCACAGGTCAAAGAGGAAACAGGATGAGACACATATATGTTTCAGAAATATTATGAAGCACTGAACATATGTGTGATCTTCAAAGTCATTTCCAAGAATATCTTACTAGCCATTTTCAGAGCAATATAGAATAAATTATGAAACGCTTGAAGAGGGAGGCCCTCCATTCCACAGGTTTCAATTGATTTTCCTTGATAGGCTTTTTCAAAATTGATTGTTTTTTGAGTCTCCCTCTTTCAATACACACCTATTTTCTGCTGCTGGTGCCACATAACAGCGGCGGCCCGTTCTTCCAAGTTACTGTTCCAAGCCCACGTTGGGGCCGGGAGCTCTGCCAAGTCTTGGTTTGCATCAGAGTCCTTCCACTTGACCGTTTGTCGTACAGACCGGTCGTGGTTTCCATCGAAGGCCGTCAGCCCAGCTGGCTGTCCTCACTCAACCAAATGAAGCCTCCGTGGCGGCAGAACGTCGTCCGTCCATGTGGGAGCCGCGGGGGAAGAGCACCTTTTCCATGCTTTTTCCCTGCAATTTGCCTGAAAAAACGCCCTGCAGGTGCGTCCTCAGACTGGAGAAAGAACACTTGCCTTTCACTCCCGGTGGTTGTACAGAGTGGAACTTCCATCATCTGAAGAGCAGAGAATTCTCTAAACTCTATCTTCCCCATAGTTACCCCGCTGCGCCACTTGTTGCGCCCTTTCCCGTGGGTTGGCGTGCCTCCACAATTCGTTTTAAATCAATTGGAGTCATATGAGTCACTGGGTTCAATCATACCAGATGAAAGTTATATATCACATTTAATATATCATATTACTATCATATTATATATACCTGAAACCACCACCCATGTTTGGTCCAGAAGAGACCAAGCCCCTTCGCCGTAAACTTCCTGTTTTCGGGCCAAGCCTTTCGGGGTAAAGCCTCCCAGTAGCGGTCTGACCGACCAACCGACGTGGGTCATGATACACCCCACCTCTGGACGGCATCGGACTCCGAAGTCCAGTCCGAGGAGATGCATCGACTGGTCGGCGATTTCCTTTAAAAAACCCTCCCGACACGACTGCATCGACTGGAGATGCTCCGCTCAGCTCGTCGAGGACGACCCACCGTGCTGGACCTGTCACCATCGACATGTCACCTCTCGCTCCGACCAAGGCGCCGACGAAGGCGACGACGAAGGCCCAGCGCGCGCCTCAGGCCCAACTGCCATCTCTGCAGCACATCGTTGGGACTCTGGCGCCTCAGGCGTGGCGGGCTCCGCGACAAGGCGGGGTTTTTGCAGGAGCGACACGTCGGCCGATGTTCCTTTTTGGGGGCTCACGCAACCACACGAGCTGAGCTTTGGGGTTTTGATCCTGGGGTGGATTTTCTCAGCTCACTCCAAACAGATTATGAGGATATACCTGGACCCGACTCTACAGGTCACCAATTAAAGACCTCAGAGCCTCACAAAACGGGCCCTTGCTGGTATATATGGTTCATGTTCATTCCTTGAACAGCTTTGATCCCTTACTCTCTGCTTGAGTGCTCCATGCTTGTCTCTCAAGCTCAGTAGGAGAGTCTCTACCTTGTTACTATAGTAGCTTCAAAGACCTTCTTACACGTGAAACGATTCCCAGTGAAACGATTCCCAGTGAAACGATTCCCAGTTCGGAGAGTCTCGTTCGTCCCAGAAACCACCTCTTCCGAACTTCCGTGACTGGACGAACATGAACGACCTCCACCTGGTCCTCGGAGCAGTTCACGACCTCGCCCTACTTTTCCTCGACTCTTTTCGTCAAGGCTTCCACCAGAAACCCTTATGGAGTCCTGTCGAGTCAAAACACCTCCAAGTCTCCCATCCAAACACCTCACCCCGCAGCCCTTGGTGCGGTCTATCCCCATCTCCCCACCTGTCTCCTCACGCAGCCTTCGTTTGCTCGCGCGGTCTGTCGCTGAGCGGCAGTGGCTGCGCGAAGGTCAACTCCAAACTCCCAGGGCCCAGGGGAAACGCCACGCCCAAACCCACGGAGACTCGAACTGCTTCTCCTCCGGGGCTTTTTTGCTCGCGTGGTGCTCGCTTGCTTCGCTCGCGGTGAAAGCCGGTAGTGGTACGCGGCAGCCGCCGATCAGTAGTGGTGCGTTGTTTGGAAAAAACCTATGCACTTGCGGCGTACGGAAGTGATGGTGTGCTTGGAGTCAATGCATTCGCTTTAATCGGTGATTACGCTTGGAGTCTTCCATGTTCTTCGCATCTGATCTCTCTCTCTCTCTCTGCTGCTGCTAAACACGCGTGGGAGGCCCGAAATAGCTTTGGGTCTCATCTACCAAGGGTACCACCGGCAATATTCAACCAAACAAGCTAGCTCAAATGTGTTCTTTCCCGAACAATGGGCTATAATGGGCTCATCCTCCGAAGGACATTTGAGACACTCTCCTCAGGACAGCCACCCTGGCTTGATCTGGCTTGAGTGTCCTTTGAATTGCGACCCCACTGATACCGTTTCCATCCGTGGCCACGCCGGTGCCTGTTTTCCAACTCGTTTCATGGCCCGGTTTTCTCGGTCACACCGGTCACGGGTCGACGCGTTCTCCT